GTCGGGGCTACCCAGATTCACCTGTGTGCACACATCATTGTCTCCACACCTCATCTGAAGAGTGCTAAAAGGTCTGCCTTCAGTTCCCAAATAACCTCAAGTAATCACCAAATCCAAAAGACACATCGGTCCTTGTGAAGTCTTTGTACTCTGTAACATCCCGCATGTACTCTCATCCGTGCATTGAATCACCTGGTATTGAGATCTTTTGTTTCTTTGTCTCACTCTTCCAAGGCCCTTGAGGGGAGAAATTGTTTCTTGTTCACCACTGTGCCCTCGTGGCTGGCACCGTGCCATGCATGGCGTTCTCTGAGGAACATCACATTATGCTCTAAGGGGGTTCTGAATATAATTTTCTGTTGTTTTTATCAAATCACAATTAGCTATTTAATTAATTAAAAAATGCCATATAGCACCTGCAAATTACTTTTGAAGGGAAGGAGGATATCAATGAAAATCAACATTTGTTGTACAGTTTTTATATAGCTGCTGGTGACATAAAGATGGAAAGTTCTGGTTTTTATATTTTAATAGCTGAGTCTGTTGGGGAGATCCATCTGAACAAATTAATTATAAATCAGTTGTAACTACTGTAGTAAAGTCATGGATGGAATACTACAGAAGCACAGAACAGGGAGCAACTGGTTGTTTTGGGGGGAGTTAGAGGTGGCCTCAGAGAGGTGACATTTGAATTGAGTCTTGAAGGGTGAGTAGGCATTTTCCAGGGTGAGAACATTCCAAAGGGAGATAAAACCAGTGGGGAATCCTATTGAAATCATAAGAGCAATACCAAGGGTAAAAATTCAGATGTGTTTCAAAAAAAGTGCGCTTTTCACAGATGCAGGGGGAGGAGAGGAAGTGGTTAAACACATTTGGTGAATAAGACTTGGCACTAAACGTACATGTAGGAAAACAGCAGAGAACCCCACAAGGTGGTCCCTGGGTCTCTCTTTTAAAAATGGGGCGTCTGAAATGAAACCAGAATCAAGATGAACAAACAACCAACCAGCTGGGAGAGAATATTTGCAAAACATACATCTGACAAGGGGTTGATCTCCATAATATATAAAGAACTCACACAATTGAACAACAAAAAAACAA